TGTGTGTTTGTGTGTGTGTGTGTGTGTGTGTGTGTTTGTGTGTGTTTGTGTGTGTGTTTTTTTTGGAGGGGGGGGGTCGCTATCTGATTGACTAATATTAACTTTTGATACCTTTCTGTGCTAGTCTTCTTCTTATACTGTCGATTTATTGTTACTCTATATATGTCTTTTCTTTTTGCAAGCAGCAGTGGGTGGTTGGCGGATGCTTTGGTGTGGTTTGCTTCTTACCCGTTTTAAAACGTTTATCGTCCTTGGTAAAATATTAAATCTCTCCTCCTTCCGCTCTTTGTATATTACTCTCTAGCACTCTAGTAACTCCTCGGCTTTAATGTAATGTATTTGTGATTGCAAGAGATGTAAAACTCGTACTAAAACTACAAGCAACCAAATGGCCATGGGTGTGTTCTTGTACTTCTTTTTGTAACTCGAACAAACAGATCAATGTTGAATTGGAAGACCTCACGCATTGCGCGGTAGGAGCTTGAGACCACCGACTGCCTTGTTGAGATTGTAGACTGTTGGGGGCATTGTCTTCTCCACCTACTTGGGCCCCGGATATAGACAGTTGTCTTTGTAATTTGTCCTCTCTGGAGCACAGAGGCCAGACAGAAGCAAACCACAGAAACATATTTACCACCAGCTCTTAGTCTTATCGTCCGGGTTCTCCGTTTTGTTTTTAGTTGGGTTTTTTTTTCTGTTCATCTTGTGTCTTTTGCAGGACAGTTTCTCATTTTTTATTTCAGCAACAGATCCTCTTTGTCCTTTCTTCCAAGCTGGTGGGCGAATTGTTTAAAGCCTCTCTGTTGTTTTTGCCTCGAGAGACTTCTTTTTGTGTTACTGTTGTGTCCAATTGCCTTTAGAAAATTGAGAACTCTCACACCACCACATCTCTTTCGTTTTTCCGCTCTGTCCCTTCCCCCTCTCTTATCGTCTTTCTAGTAGCCTCTGTCTGTCTGTCTGTCTGTCTGTCTGTCTGTCTGTCTGTCTGTCTGTCTGTCTGTCTGTCTGTCTGTCTGTCTGTCTGTCTGTCTGTCTGTCTGTCTGTCTGTCTGTCTGTCTGTCTGTCTGTCTGTCTGTCTGTCTGTCTGTCTGTCCCTTTTCATAGGCCCTTGTCTGTCATTTGCGCCTTCCTCCCGCTTTTCTAAAATCCCAAGTTTCAATTACTCACTTACACTTTCGACCACTCGTTCTGGCGTCCTGTGGCCCCTTTTCCTTCTTCTCCCTCTCCCCCCCTCTCTCTCTCCTCCCCCTTCTCTCTCTCTCTCTCTCTCTCTCTCTCTCTCTCTCTCTCTCTCTCTCTCTGTGTGTGTGTGTCTCTGTCTCTTTCTCCTCTCTCTATCTCTCTCTCGCTCTTAACCACTCCCCCCCCCAGCCACCCTCTTTGACCCCCCCCCCCCTTCCACCCGTTTCCCCATCTCTCCCTGTATTTAACTTTATCCATTTGCAACATGCTGGCAGGCCAAGACTAAGGTGATCTGTTTTCTTAATGAAGATTTGAACAAGGAATGCACGGATTCGCTTTTGGCCAGTTTGAACTACGACAGTTTAGAAATAGGTTACCCCCCCCTCCCCCACACACTTCGTTTCCTGACTCTTACTTACTTTAAGCAATCTACTATACAAGAAAACTAGGATTGAATTAGTTACAGGGCAGAGGTGGAGCTGGGATTCAGTTGGGTGGGGCTTGGAATTTTCCTATATTTTGTCTGTCTTGTTTGTGGTTGGTGGTGCTTCTGTAGATTCAGTTGGGCGGGGCTTGGAATTTTCCTATATTTTGTCTGTCTTGTTTGTGGTTGGTGGTGCTTCTGTAGATTCAGTTGGGCGGGGCTTGGAATTTTCCTATATTTTGTCTGTCTTGTTTGTGGTTGGTGGTGCTTCTGTAGATTCAGTTGGGCGGGGCTTGGAATTTTCCTATATTTTGTCTGTCTTGTTTGTGGTTGGTGGTGCTTCTGTAGCAAGGAAGATTCAACTCTGGGATTTCAGGGCTTGTTTGTTAGTTTTCCACCTTTTTTCCCCTCATCCTGACTGCACCCTCGGTGGCCAGGCTAGCACGAAAGAGCTATTTCGCCAAAGAAAATCTATTAAGAAAGGAAACATATTGTCACCCCCATCCCCTCTCTAGATTGGCGTATGGCACCCCACAGGCAGGGGAGTTAATGAGGCAGCAAAGTACTGTTTATTCCCCCCCTCCCCTCCCCTCCCCTCCCCACTCCCCTCGGATTCACCGCATAGCAGTACCGATACTCAGACCATATATTCATCCACATGATATATACATGTATACTTCAGTAGGTTTTAGTGAATCTGCGATAAATCCACGCAACATTATCAGCCCTGAGCCAATAGCGAGCTGGTTTGAAGAAGACGAGCTCAGATACGCTGAGTCCAGAGATCAGCAATAAATCGTCACCCGTCTTTGACAACAAAGGAATCTTTACCGCTTCGATCCTGCCCTACAAGGGGCCTACATGGTGTGGGAGCGACTTTTGGTTCCAGCAGAAGGGTGGGAACACTTTGGTCGAGGAAAACTAAGGGTGCCGCACTTCCGGAACAAGACGAACACTTCTCGCCAAGATAGATTTCATAACCGAATTACAATCTTC